ACAAGCCCAACCCTTCACTCACTGGGCGAGCCTATTGGGCGGGCCCGTTGGGTGGGCCTACGAGCGAGCTTACTGGACAAGCTTTTCATATACAACTTTATTTAAAAATAATAAATATTTTTGTAACTTAATATTTTTGTAAACTACATTTTTGAATTACAGTACAGTCAAAATGGACAAAATAAATAATAAATAATTTTATTTATAAATAGGGAAGGAACTACATCACAATAGAATAAGAACATCCCAACTAGGTTGACATTTACCCACCTATCTATCTTTTTCAAATTTTAAATATAATGTGTCTAACTTTTTTTCAAAGAAAGGTGGGTGGGCTTGTTCGAGCTAGGTTGGGCTGGCGAGTTTTTGTTTTTTTTTTTGTATAGCAATAACATATTAGGTCAATAAATTGTTTACAAATAATCTTTTTTTTTTCTCTTTTTGGGGGAAAGGGAACTTTAACTCTTAATCTCAAAAAGGCAAAACCTTCACAAGGTAAGAAGTACAATTGGACTAAAGGCCCGTTGATGGCGGACGAGTTCTTCGACTGGGTATTAACAGGACTTTTGCGGCCAGGCTATTAGGTCAAATTTCAGGCCGGACAATGGGTTTGGGGGTAGGTCGAAGCCCTCTCTTGAAAGATATTGGGCTCAGGCTCAGTCGGACCAACTATCGAACCTATTAGGTTTCGAGCCTATTTTTTTCCGGTCAGATAACGAGACCTGTGAGCAATCCAGTCCATGGACACCCCTACTAGCTAATAATTGTACTTGTACATAATAGAAGTTAAAAACATGGGCAGATTTAAACTAGGAACATGCAATTTTGAAAAACTTTTGTGGTATTTTTGAAATTTTAAAAAATATACAATTTTTAATATTTGCTCCCATTAAAAGTTTCTAAAATTTTATGAGAACATCTATATTAGAATAATAATTTAAGACCTAAAAAACTAGCCTAATTTGTTTACTTAATAATAGATCAAGTGAAGTCCTCAAAATGAATAAGTCCAAGAGTTGTAGTTAGTATAATGCTTTTGTAACATCTAAATTATCACACCATTATGTCATCAAATTAAGTCCTCAAAAGCTTTACACATTATATTTTGAAAAATAAGTGGGATTTCTTGTTGTACTAAAAAATTAGATTCAAACTTCCTTCTTGTGATTCAATGTCACCAATGGTCTCTTTAGTCTCTCTTTTGTATCTAATTCTCTCTGCTTCTTATACACCAATTCATAGATTGTCATCACTCAACATCTTAGCGAAGTTGCAACAAATTTTTATGATTATTATGTGGTCGTTCTCTTTGACTTTGCTCTTATGTCACCAGTGGCGGATTTAGTATGGGGGCCGCCCCCACTGAAATTTTAAAAAAATTTGAGATTTAAGTGTAATTTTAAAAATTGCAAGAATTTCTTAAACTTGCCCCTACTAAAATTTTCTTAAAGTATAGGATATATTAATATAATTTTCAACCTTTAAAAGCTAACTGTTGGCAGCTCCTTCTCATTTTTTACGCTTGGCAGTTACCCCTCCACCAAAATTTTAAAAAAATTTGGGACCTAAGCGTAATTTTAAAAATTTCAAGAATTTCTTAAACATACTCCACTAAAATTTTCTAGAAGTATAGAGTATATTAATATAATTTTAAACCCTTAAAAGTTAACTTTTGGCAACTCCTTTTCACGCCAGCTTTTTTATTATTTTTTTTCGTAAGACTTTGTCTTCTTAGTCCAGACTTCCAAGCGTCCAATCGACAGCCCCTTTTCTTTCTTTTATTTAGTTTCTTTGTTAGTTCCTTCGGTATATTCATCAACAAATCACTTTATTAGATTCAATCATTGTGTAAATAAAATTTAAAAAAACCCTAGAAGATTTTATATTGAAGCTAAGGAGAGGTAATCTATTAACCAAATTTTTTGATAGTAATATTAACACTAATATAAAATCAGATTTTTTATTTTAGAAAATTAGTTTTAACTCTTGTAGAATTGACGGTTGGTGTATTATTTATGGACTTATGTAGGTTTTTTTTGTTTTGTCTTGGGTCTCCACTCAACTATTTTGGATTTTTGTTAAAGTCCATTTTCAGATTGGCTATCTGAGATTTTTGGTTAGTGCTATTTTTCTTCCCTAAGATTAAATTGTTTTAATTGATTTCTTGAAATTCTAATTTGGATTATATTTTGAATTTATGGATTATATTTGATTATGTGTAGTTCATTATCTCATTTGTTACGAACTTAAAAACGAACTCTTAAACTTGAATCTAATATGACAAATTTATTTTTCAATCAGCTATGAATAGATTGCCCCCAATGAGACAAAATCCTGGTTCCGCCCCTGCATATCACTACTCTCTTTCTCCCTTCCGTTTCATCTCCTTTTCTCTATACTATTTTTAAACATGAGATGAAATCAGGTTTGAAATTTGTAAGCATAGTTTAAACCTTAAAATTCTAATAACTAATACTGGACATAAATATCAAAAAATTAGGATCTGAACAAACCAAAAATTCAAATGATGAAAGAACATATGCAGACTCTATGCAAAAAGATATGAATTTTCTCAACCAGTTATGACTTCTATGGATTTGATATGGAAAGGCCATTCTATGTTTTAATTCTAAACTTACCCGCTAATGGATTGAATTGTTATTGATTGACTTCTCGAAATTCAAGCTTTTGTGCTTTTGTGATAGATTCATTTTTTTTCAAATTTTCAAACTGCTACAGTTGAATTTATTGTATTTAATAGGATTTTATATTTGAAATTTGCTTGAAATAAATTACTCTATTGCTTGGCTTTTCAATATATAAACTAAACAAAATGTTTATAAAAAATTCATTACTTTTAGCATTAAGTTTTTAATATACGAATGGGTTATAAGTTGCCCCCATTGCATGAAATTCTTGGCTCCTCCCCAGCTTAATAAGAGCATCTTCGTATTGCAAAAAAAAAAAATTCNAAGCTAAGGAGAGGTAATCTATTAACCAAATTTTTTGATAGTAATATTAACACTAATATAAAATCAGATTTTTTATTTTAGAAAATTAGTTTTAACTCTTGTAGAATTGACGGTTGGTGTATTATTTATGGACTTATGTAGGTTTTTTTTGTTTTGTCTTGGGTCTCCACTCAACTATTTTGGATTTTTGTTAAAGTCCATTTTCAGATTGGCTATCTGAGATTTTTGGTTAGTGCTATTTTTCTTCCCTAAGATTAAATTGTTTTAATTGATTTCTTGAAATTCTAATTTGGATTATATTTTGAATTTATGGATTATATTTGATTATGTGTAGTTCATTATCTCATTTGTTACGAACTTAAAAACGAACTCTTAAACTTGAATCTAATATGACAAATTTATTTTTCAATCAGCTATGAATAGATTGCCCCCAATGAGACAAAATCCTGGTTCCGCCCCTGCATATCACTACTCTCTTTCTCCCTTCCGTTTCATCTCCTTTTCTCTATACTATTTTTAAACATGAGATGAAATCAGGTTTGAAATTTGTAAGCATAGTTTAAACCTTAAAATTCTAATAACTAATACTGGACATAAATATCAAAAAATTAGGATCTGAACAAACCAAAAATTCAAATGATGAAAGAACATATGCAGACTCTATGCAAAAAGATATGAATTTTCTCAACCAGTTATGACTTCTATGGATTTGATATGGAAAGGCCATTCTATGTTTTAATTCTAAACTTACCCGCTAATGGATTGAATTGTTATTGATTGACTTCTCGAAATTCAAGCTTTTGTGCTTTTGTGATAGATTCATTTTTTTTCAAATTTTCAAACTGCTACAGTTGAATTTATTGTATTTAATAGGATTTTATATTTGAAATTTGCTTGAAATAAATTACTCTATTGCTTGGCTTTTCAATATATAAACTAAACAAAATGTTTATAAAAAATTCATTACTTTTAGCATTAAGTTTTTAATATACGAATGGGTTATAAGTTGCCCCCATTGCATGAAATTCTTGGCTCCTCCCCAGCTTAATAAGAGCATCTTCGTATTGCAAAAAAAAAAAATTCAAATTAAAACATAAGTTAGAAATCACCAAGATAAAGAGATAACATACCAAAACGGGTTACAATTTAGGGTTATGATTGCAATTTAGAGTTTGTTGGATCGTGAGTTAACTTGGGGTTCGGGTTACAATTAGATATCCAAAATTTGGACAATCTATTTCGCAAACACACCCCATTCAGGATCATGCAACCCAAATAAATAGTGAGAGGGTACCTTTAATCCCAATATCCCTTGACCAAATCACCTTTATAGATTCTCACTTGAAATATCTTAAATTGGTGTCATTTTAATTGTTTCACGAATATTCTCCTTTTTAATACTATCCCTTTTGGTTGTACAACGTCCAATTTAACATTCTAATTTGTAACACAACAATTTTTTTGAGCATATTGTTTCTTAATTGTCCAGTAGTTTGTACTATAAAGCATTGCAGGTCTAATAACTATCTCGTAAAATTTACCATTTAGCTAACTAATCTATACAAGGAATTTAAATTCCATATTTGTTTACATTTGTGTTTAATTGCTTCTTGTGACTTGATAAATCCTCTTGGATTGGGTTTCAAAGGCAACCCTATTTATGTGATTATGTATTAAGTCTTAACATTATAAACAAGCTAGTACATCCATGGCTTTTCAAATTTCACACCTTGAATTCATCAAAGATCAAACCATATAGTTGGGTTTACTGCACAAATTTAGATACTAGAATGACTTTTCCCGTGCTATTCTTCTGTGGTAGGTTCAGTGCCTAAACGTTCAGAAGTCATTTTTACCAAACAGCAGCATAGTGAGTTATGAAATGAAGAAACATGCATTTACGATGAAATAAATGTCAGCATAAACTCTGAAACTGAAATAATTGGTCATCTCAAGGGCACTTGTCCTACTTGGATCATGTGCAATCCAAAAATTAGTCACATCTTGCAGGCAAAGAATAGATTCATTCTAAAGCAAGGAATTGGATAAAGAGGACAATAAAGTGGAAGGTACCTGAAGTTGTCGGATTAGTGGCATCCCCTTCCTCTGCCTCTTCAGCCGCCAATGCTCATAAATGATATTGATCACTTCCACGGGCCCAAATCCAACCATGAGCTCTTTGATTTCATCTGATGTAAAGTGATCACGCTGTTGGGCATATGAAACTTTCTCAAACATGTCCATAGTCTTCTCAAACAAATCCTCAGAAATATCTTCGCACTTGCTCTGAAGAGAAAGGGAAGATTTCTGACTACTAAGAATCCATTGCTCATCATCGCTGTCCATGTCATAGAAGATGCGTGATGCATCCATAGCCATGTCAACATCATTTTCAACCTGTCGGAAGTACTTGGAAGAACTACGAAGAAATGGCATTTCTGTCACACTATCACCACATTCCGCTACCAGACGAACTCCAGGAATGGGGATACTTTTCACTGAAGCAGCGCGAATGTTCCGATTATAGCATTCTTCATGCATCTCTTTAAAAAGCATCCACTGGCTCCTGTCAGGGAACTCCAGTACCCAATCCTTTCCTCCCTTCCACATCATGGCATGTGTGTAGCGGTTTGTTGACCCAGGCTGCAAAACATGATGTACTTTGTATGAGTATTTAGCAGTCCCGGAAAGTTTAACAGCCAGTTTCCATTCATTCTGATCTGCAAGTTCCAAGAAAACACATGCGCCACATTCTCTCCACCCCCTGTCTCCATGAGTGATCAACACATTTGCATCACAAGCTAACAACTCCAAGTTTCTTCGAGGACCTCTGGAGCCATCTGAGGTCTTCTTCTCATTAGTTCTCCTAATTCGTTTGTAAGGAAGTCCTTTCTGGTTATCAATATTATGTTTTGAGCTAAGATTGAAACCTCCAAAAGGCAATGCATAGTGGACCTGCGTCCGTGGCTTCTTAGGTCCATTGCCAAAGCCATTGCAGATAAAATCTGTTGCCCCATCAGGCCATACATGCGAGAGATCATCAAAAGGTGAAGAACTTGGGCTATTTATATTGTGATGCCACAAACTTCGAGCACCAATAGAGTTGGGGCTGCAGACAACGTCATCACTAGAATTCCAAGCCAAGTCCGAAGACTGTTGAGCACTACGTGTTCTTTCATCAACAGACTTTTCAATTTTGTCAAATGAGGGAATATCAACCTTCATGCCATTCAAACTAGAATAGCACTTGACAGGAGACATACTTGGGGAGGTATGATCTTTATGAACTACAGGCTGCTGCAATGTAGCAATTTTCTTTGTATCCAGACGATTGCATCCCCCACTACGTGATTGGACAATTGCATCATTTGTATTGTTTCCATGATCTGAGGACCAGGTGGAAATCCCACTAACTTTTTGTTTACCAATTCCAGCCTTTGTTCCCCATTGCATGCTGGAATCAGTCCTTAAGTGCGGTCCAGCACTAGAAAACCATCCTGAACAAGCAGCTTCCATCAACGAAGTTTCCAAGTTACTCTCAGGAGTGATATCTGGTGCAATTTCAGAGTAATGCACCTCAACTTGACTCTGATCATCTGCAATTGGCGGACTATTGCTTTCTGAACAGTCAAGTGAATCGTGGTCCTGAAGGCTGACGCCAGCAACACTATGTTCCATCAGCAGCTTAAGATGCAGACTACGAAAGAAAGTTGGTGCAGCATTAAAAGAAATAGAAAATGGAGGAAGTTTTCTGTGCAACAGATCAGAATCACAAGAAGAGCGACTCATATTTACATAGCATGATTTTTTGAAATACCCCACAGCCATAATACTCTGCACAGACTTCTTCAATAAACCCTGTTTGATAGAAAAACTCACAGAAGTCAATCACATAGGGAAACAAGATTATATCTAAGTCTATTACAACATGTAACTACCAAACTATCCTACATAGTATAACCTAACAGTTTTTTTTTTCATTTTTTGGGTTTAACAAACCACAAAAGCTTTCAAGCTGAAATTTAACTCAATATACATATGCATATAATATGTCTAAGGGAAAATTTCAATCACCTTCGCTGTATATTTAGGATACTTGGACGTGCTCATACTTATATTTACATAGTCATATATAACATACAAAATACACATGTACGAGAGAGTGAGAACTTCCCACCCAGATCTACCCCCAACCCTAATCACCCATATGTGCTCTCTCTATTTCCATCACTCTCTCTGTTATTCAGTTTGTTACATAAACACACACACACTTATATCTGCAATACAGGCCATGATGAATTTTGATTTGGAGAAGGATTTCAATTTTATCAAGCTTCGAAACACACAATACTGATCGGAGATGCACTTTGATCTAATCAAGCTTCTGCTGCCTTACAGACACATGGATGCAGAGCAAAGGCTCCACCCGATAGGCACTCTCATCCCTGTTGTGTAAAAAGGAACACAAATTAAATGGTTGGAATGGCAGCCTAGTTAATGCTTTCAATTCTGCAGTTTCTCCAATCTGCCTCGTCGCCGTATAATCACCTCCTCTCAACCAACTAACCAGAGTAGTCCCTTCCAAGATATAAGAGACCTCCAGCCCCCACATTTCAATGCATACGACTTTTTTAATACAATCAAAAAGCTAGAAAGTTCCAGTAGATTTGACATTTTTGGCTACTCAAAAACCCCACTGGTTTCAGACACTTTTGGACACAGTTAATTTACTTGTTTCAGATACTTAAATATATATATATATATATATATTCAGATTAACTTCAAAACAAATGGTTAATCTTAGCGAATTCTCTCTTTCAGGTTTTCTCTTTTTATAGTTTAATGGAGAGAGTATATCCCATACCAATTTCAGATTTGTTCATATACCAATTTTCACAAATTAGTTTTTAGTGAAGAATCATCATCTATTACGACTAATAAAGGGAGAGAGGGGTTTGGTGTCCACTCTAATGGGACCTATTAATGTTTAAAATACTTTATGGTATCTATAAGTTCAAATGTTTATCACAAATTCTTCTAGAAGCATGTGTACAAAACTTACATTCCTATTTAGATTTAGCATCCGCCAACATCTCTCGTCTCTATCAATCATTAATTGATCACGCATTGTGTATGCCACAAAATCTAGAATTTAATAACTTGAGTGTAAAATTGGTATTAGAATAATAATCTTTGGAGACATTATCATTTTTAGAGTTGTCAGTAGTTGTCCCTCAGCACATGGGAGGTATCCAAAACGAATAGATAAACTACAGGAGTGTGGATATGGCGACATAAATGGGGTGTGGATGCAATTTTCCCAATATCTAAAGAAGATGACAAAGGGAACAAGGGGAAAACAGGGATCAAAATACAAAAATTAACTTCAGAAAGATGTTTCATTGCTCGGGAGGGAGCAATGCAAGCAAAATGAAAGTAATACCTGAAATGCGGAGGGGATCATACCAACAGAAGTTGTGTCAAGCTGTTTACCTCCTCCTTCCCGTGCCCTGATGTTATCATATGTACATTCAGACAGAGGTAGCTGCTCAGTGAGCAAACAATGCTGTTGGAGCTTCCGATCTAAGCACAACCACTTCGAACATTTCACTTTGGCGAAGCTGTAGTTTGCAAACACATGCTTCTTTCTAAAATCTTGAACACAAGAGAGCGTAAACCTTACCGAAGTTACAGGCAATTGCAGGTCAACATACTTCCCCTGCTCGTTAGATTGATGAAATATAGTTAGGACAAGGAAAACAAAGGCTACAGCCTGCTTCAAGGAACCTTCAAACAAGAAAAACCTCAAACCGAAAATATTATCAACAAAGAGTATCTCCAAATGAATCTTAGGCCAAATACAGACAACGGTACCATATCGAAGCAGCAGTGCAGCTTGGAACAACCAAAAATGCTCTACTCCAAAAGTAAACTCCAGGAAAGGAGGAACTGATAAGCATAACTCAAACCTAAATCGTTTGGCTTCCATCAATGGCATAGTTAATTTTAACAAGCCTTCATCATCGATGGACCAGAAAGGCTCATCAGGGTTGAAGCACCCAAGAGAAACCATGCATTCTTTTGAGGTTTGGAAAGTGTAAACACCAGAGGCCAGAGAAGGAACAGATACAGGTACACTTTCAGAAGCATTGTCACTTACAGATGAACGAATCAATCCTCTGTCTTTCTTGTGATATTGCCTCCTGGAATAAACAAAAACTGGTTTGCTACCTTTGGAGCTAGTGCTGGTTTCCAGCACTGACTTCTCACCCTTTCTGTCATCACTTGATCTGTCTGGAAATGGAGAAATACCATTTACTGCACTCGTATCTATTTGCTCAAAACCCAAAACCACATGAGCGTCTTCAATTTTTTTAGACAACAATGGTGGAACCAAGTAAGGAGATGGATGGGATGTTTTCTGTTTTTTCCAAGCACCAGGAGAAGATTTGACTCGATGAGAAGAACGAGCCAGCCATGACATGATGGGTTCTGAGTCCATATACCTCCCAACGTAGCTGTCATCATCTGAAGTTAAACCTCTCTTTCCCTCATCTCCGATAGCAGAATTTTCAGGCTCTGCCTTCCCAGGAACTTCACTGGGGAGAAGCAAAAGTTTAAATCTCTCGTTCTGAAGGTTAACCCATTCCTCATCTCGATCATCATATTTAATGTGATGAAGCTTTCTCTCTGAATCATAATCATTCACAAGGCCGTAATACCAACTTTCATCCAATGGCCAAAATACCTTGATCCTCCTGTTCAAAACCCAGTATGCATCCAAATCCACAGAAAGAATCTCATAAAAATGACGCCGCTTGCTTGAGAGACCCTTCTCATTATGCTGTTTCCTAGGTCTCAGAACTCTGCTGGCAGAGTCAACTGATGCCAAAGTGGAGCCAGCTAAGTACTTTTCCCTTTGACTAACGAAGTTCTGACCAGAACGGATCAAGAAAGACAACCCATTTACACACCTTGATGAGGTTTTTGAAGAAAACTCAGTGTAACTCGGATCAAATCGAGACGAGAGCATCCTCGCAGCATTTGCTTCGAGATTCTCTTCATCATCATCATCCTGAAAACCATCGCTATCACTAACTGAATTAACAAGTGGAGACCCCACCTTCATTGCGACAGTTTCATTAATTGGTGTCAACATATCTTTTCTTTTCTTAAGACTGCTCTGGCTCTTTCTACTAGATGCATCACTGTTATGTACAACCACGTGACCATCTTCCTCCTTAGCATGTCGAGCTGAACTCACCTTGCTCCGGTGCTTCGTAGAAGATGCATCACCATTATTTACAACCACATTTTTATCTTCCTCCTTATCATGTCGAGCTGAACTCACCTTGCTCCGGCACTTTGTAGAAGATGCATCGCCAATATTTACAACCACGTGACCATCTTCCTCCTTAGTATGTCGAGCTGAACTTACCTTCGTCCGGCACTTCCCACAAGATGCATCACCATTATTTACAACCACATCACTTTCTTCCTCCTTAGCAAGCCAAATTGAACTCACCCTATCTGCACTACTTCCCATATAATCATCAGTAACTGACTTCTGCAAAACCTTGGGGTCAACAATTTCACCTCCAGAATCTCCATTTAACTTAACCACCTGATTAACATAACAGGCTTTACTATCACAAGAACCGGATTGCTGTAAAACTTGGTTGCCGACAATTATCTTAGCCTCACCATTTGACTTGGCGATGTGATCACCCGAACTAGAGAGTCCTGATGGATTAGAAACCTGATTGCTTTCAAATTTCTTGCGAGAACCTCGTGGACGCTTGGGGATCCGAAACACATTACCAGTGCCATCCAAACCAAGTGAAATATCATTTGACCCATTACTGGTACTCAACTTGCCTCTCAAACCCAACAAAGCCCTGTCCAAATCACCCGAACTGACCCCACCGGCATAAACTTCATCTAAACTCTTCTTACTCTTCTTGCTAGCTGGCTGAATACTACTCAAAGGCAACTCTTTCCTACTCTTCCTTTTCTTTTTCTTAACCTCATCATTTCCTACACTATTTTTTCCCTTGCTATTCCCTTCCTTCAAAACACTAGATTTATATAGACTCTCAAGATTCAAAGATCTGGTTTTCTTGGAAATTTTAGCACCACCAGACTTTCCTACACTACTTTCCATCGACAATACCTCAATGCAAACATCCCAAACAAAAATCCCCGATTGTTATGTTCCATCATACATACTCACAGCCAAAGTTTCAGATCTGTAGCTAAAAATTTGTCAAAAAAAAAAAAAATTAACACCAACCACAAATTCAAACAATTAATCACAAATGACCCCAATTAGATAACACAATGAACTAATTTCTCTACAACAGCAATTAAATAGAAACCATAAAACTTCTGAATATGCACATTTCCTACACTATTTTCCATCGACCGTACCTCAATCCAATCATACATTTCTTCGTTTTCATCGAAGCGCCGCTATTGAATCATGATGATCGAGAACACGAAGCATGAATTCCAAGGTTTGAACCTCGGAATCTTATAGAACGAAAAAGCTAGAGAGAGAGAGTGTGTGTTCAATTTCAAACCCTAATTGATTTGTTGATTTCCCAAATGATTTTCGATTTTTTTTTTTTAATTTTCCTTTTTCTAGAGAGAGATAGGGGTGATGTGGGTTACTTCGGGGTCACGAAAAGGGGAAATTTTCTAAAAAGTGTAACCCTAATGGTAATTTCATTTTGACTCTTCAACTATTCAATTTTCTGCATTATTTACATAAGTGAGGGCAAAATGAATTAATTTTTCATTAAATATGTAACAATTTTAGTAATTATGATAAATATATATATAATTATTGATGGGACAATATAAAACAAAAATTAATTTTGGTCAAAAGTTATTAAAATTATTTTTTTTTCAACTATTAAAATATTACGTAATAAATTTATAAAAAAAAAAAATCGTTAGTAATTTATATATTGTCTATTTGAGCTACTACATATAAATACATTGGTTATTCATAAATTACACCCTGAAATATCATTCAAATCTAAATTTATATCCTCAAATATCATAAATTTTAATTTATACCCTCAAATATATAAATCTTAATTTTATACCACACGTAGTGGATGTGTTTGGTTCCTTGCGAGATTTCAAGGATTCCCACCATTCGTTCACGTGTGACTTAGGTAAAGGGTTAGTGTACGAGTTTGGTTCCTTGAAGGGCTCCAAAGGTTTCGATTACTCATCAGAGAAATTAGTTAGGTATTGATTCTCAATATCGATTCTCCCTAAAGCCTTTTGAGAATTGATATGAATTTGTTGTTGTTTGGTGTACCATATGCATTTAAGTGTGGTATTCTTGCTAATCAAACTACTTTGAAATATCATCTAATATTTGTTGATATCAACATTTATTTTAGCCAATCATCCCTTAATTACCATTCATTATATAATATAATAATAAACAAAATACTTCAAATCCCCATCCCCATTCTTTTTCACCATGAGCCACCCCATCCCTTTTACTACCCTCCCTCGTTGCAACTCCCCCATCCCTTTTCACCATGAGCCACCCCCATCCCTGTTACAAACCACCCTGTATTTCTACACCAACTTTGCCGCTATAGGATTAAGAATTTTTCATATTACTTTTTTGATCATATTTAAGTATCATGTAATAAATTTATGATAAAAAATTATTAATAATTTGGACATTGGTAGTATAAAGGATTAAATATAAACATATTTAATATTTAAAAGACAAAAAATGATGCAATTAAAAATTTTGAGACTAAAATGAAACAAATTTTATATTTTAGGGATCTTCGATATAATTAGCACTAAATATAATAGTACATATACTAAAACGGACGTGAGAGTAAGTTGTTGTAGGTAATGACATATTCAATCATGACTTAAATTTTTAGTTAAATTGAATTAAAAAAGTTTGATTTGAAACAAATGATTTTAATTGACAAACTAAAATTTAAAAAATGAGAATTCTAAATTTAAATGCCTAAAAGAGGTTTAAATCTCGTTATAATTTGGATAAAGATTTGAGTCTCTTCTAATTTAAGTAAAAAACACGAGTCTACTTTTATTCGGTTAAAAATTGTGATAAATGTTTTAGATTTTTTATTTAAATTTAAATCAAAATTAGAGACGGTAGTAAGATAACTTATTGAACGTGGAATCACGGTGGACCTGCGTATATGATTTTCTTCCGAACTTCCCTTCCAGCTGTTTCAATTGTCTGCCATCGTATTACCTTCGCGACCATTCTCTGTCTTCTTATATTTTGATATCTCTGTTTGTGCGAAGAAAGTTCTGTTTCGTGGTTCTAGTGATCGAGATCTGGCATTGGTGGCCCTGTGAATTCGATATTAGAAGAAGAATTCGCCCTCGAAGCCCTAAATTTTGAGGATTTTGAAGTTACAACGGGGATTCGTATAAAGAAACAGAGAAATGCCATGTAAGAGTTTGTTCACCCGAATTGAATGCAAAAAAGCATAAAAAAAGGTTAATTTGGAGATTTTGGTAAGAAATTTGGGTAGATTGAGTCGGATCTGGAGAATTTGCTTGTCTGAAACCCTATATTCGCAGATTGGAGGCAATTTTCTTTCGATTCGGAGTGTTTTATACTGCTTCAGCGGCTAGGTATTTTAAGTAGATATTTGGAAGATGTCTTGGAGAACGGCGAGTTCATCGATTCGGGATCGAACGCAGGAGTTTCTAAGTGTAGCGGAGAGGCTGAGGAAGCCGCTCGTACAGAATGGTCCGAGTAGTAGTGGTTCAAGGTCGGAGGATCAGAGGTCTATGGTTGCTGTGCAGTCGGAGTTCAACAGGAGGGCTTCGAAAGTAGGATTCGGGATACATCAAACATCGCAGAAACTTGCGAAGCTGGCAAAATGTAAGTAATTGAATTGCTGAGTACTTTTGGATGATTGTTAGATTCGTCTGACAATGTATATGGGTTTTTAATTTTCGGCAGGATTATTTATATGCAATTTGGTATGGTAGAAAATGCTGAAAAAGTTCCTGAGGTTAGGAGGATACTGTTTGTACAGGTTTCATGTATTCTTGTAGCGATATACCATATTGTGATGGTTCTTCAAACAATTGATAGGTTCAACGAGTTCATTAATAACCGACACCATGTACACACATGGTATACAAAAACACTTTTCACAGAAGGAACTAGAAACGAACTTGGGAATCCAGATTGTCTATAAAGTCAAATAAGTTTGAAACCTGCTGCTCCATGCCATAACAACATGACCTTTTCTGTCGTTACCCAACTAGTTTCAAAACCATAATTGCCTTAGAAAGTATGAGTGTTCATAAGGATTACAATCTTTGAAGCGCGGACATTCTCAAGATGGCAACGTATCCATGTCGGGCACCGGCACTCTTCAGACACATGTCCGATACTTTTTTATTTGTGTTCATAATTAAAGGATAAAATATTAATTTTGGATATGTGTTCGGCACTTCTTTGGTGACGTGACCGACACCTTTTAGACCATACATATTACTAAACAATAAACATGTATTGACAAGTGCGTAGTAAATCTTAAAATTTTGATTGTAAGTATCTTATATTATGATAGAACATATAATTACCAAGGTAAGACATGTTAAAGTTGTACTCAAAATATGATAATAAAAGGAAAAGATGCATAAAAATTTTAAAAAAAGAGAAATTGAGAAAACAATAAGTAAGTCTTAAAATTTTGACTATAAGTATCTTAACATTTTGATTACAGTAAATCTTAAAATATGGAATATAAGTATCTTATATTATGATAGAACATATAATTATCAAGGCAAGACATGTTAAAGTCGTACTCAAAATATGATAATAAAAGGAAAGATGCATAAAAGTTTTAAAAAGAGAAATTGAGAAAACAATAAAAATCATATAAATTATATATGTTGGGTACACGTGTAAAAATAATTGATGATTATTGACTATTATGATGATTTAGCCTAAAAATTCACATTAAACAACTAGACATAACAATTACTTATCATAAAATATTAAATTTCTTATGAATAATATATCATTAGTATTCTTATGAATAATATATCATTATCACTATATTGTTGTGATAAATTTTATAATTTTATATATAAAACATAATTATATATAGCGTATTCTTAACGTATCCGTGTCTTACTTTTTTGAGAAATGTCGTGTACGTGTCCATGTTGTGTTGTATCAATATCTCATGTCCGTGTCCATGCTTCTTAGATTGCAGTTATTGGTAGAATGTTGGTGTCATAGAAAAGTGAAACTCTTGCTTTTTCAAATTTTAACTTGATTAGTGACAATAAAATTGATCCTAGTTTTTTAAGATTCCAAAGGCCTACTTTTTTTTATACCTTGATTTAATGGTGTAATTTGAAAGAGTAAATAGGCATACATGCGAGAGGATTATGAGGATAAATGTGGAATTTGTTTGAACCATATTGATGCTTATTCATCAAGTAGCAGATTGGTCAGTGTTACTTGTGGCCAAAACCATAGGTCTTATTGGATCAAGGACACTGTCCCTTGGTGGTGATCTTGCATTGATTGACATTGCCATCAATGTGTGGAAGGAGTAATTTTCTCTGAATTGCTGTGTCGGTTAGGATTTTAAACAGAATGTTAGCCTTTAGAGGGTCATGTTTATTATTTTGCATGTGCAGTGGCGAAGAGGACCTCTGTTTTTGATGACCCTACCATGGAAATACAGGAGATGACTGCAGTTATCAAGCAAGATATCACTGCTCTTAACTCAGCTGTGGTTGATCTTCAGCTTCTCTGCAACTCTCGGAATGAGAGTGGGAATATCTCCAGGGACACCACTAGTCATTCAACTACAGTTGTAGATGACTTGAAGAACCGCTTGATGAGTGCCACAAAAGAATTCAAAGAAGTCCTCACTATGCGGACAGAGGTGAGTCCAAATTTTGCTACTTACACTATTCTTCATTTGGCTGTTTTTATCAGCAGAACTGATACTACTTTATATCTCTTTCATTTTAAAATTACCTTTGAAAGACAACTAAATTCATTTCTTGGATATATGCAGAACTTGAAAGTTCATGAGAACAGAAGACAATTGTTTTCTTCTACTGCTTCCAAGGATTCTACAAATCCTTTTACTCGCCAGCGTCCCCTGACTGCAAGGACTGCTGCTAGTACCTCAACTGCCCCTCCTCCTCCATGGGCTAATGGGTCCCCATCTTCATCGCAGTTATTTCCTAGGTAACTACATACTAAGCGCTGCCATCCAATTACTGGTTACTAGTCACAGCCTTCTTTTACTTTTGAGAGAAAGTTTGAAATATTCTCTTTTGTGTGCCGATGACATGATCTTTTCTACCTAAATGTTATTTGATGAAGGTATCATTTCAAATAAGCCCAAGTGATTGTATAATATATGTTGGGGTAGTGTCTCTCAATTTTTGTCACCACTTCATTTATGATAATAAAATCATACATTCAAATGCTGGTATTATCATTGAGTGGACCCTAACACAATGTTATTCAACAAATATAAACTAATGTCTTTAATGTTTTGGAAATAATCAGGGATTGTAGCTCAAATCAGAGATTGTAAATAAATGTTAGGTTGTAGCTCAAAACATATTTTTCTGGAAGCCCAAATAACCCTAAATTTTGTTAAACCTAATTATTAACCTATTCTACTCCTCTTTGAATACCTAATTTGTCATTTATTTAAGTATCTCTCCGTCCCTTTAGACATTTTCTCTTTTATTTATAACCAGCTGGTGCAGAAGTGCGTTGCAGGTGGATTATTTCGAGTTATTATAATTTTTATTTACTACTTTTATAATAAAATATTGCTTGGTCAAATTATAATTAAATGATCATTCTGAAATTTTTAAGATTGCAATACTCATGTGTGTTGTTTATGAACTTTTTAAAATTATTATAATAATTTGTAGTTTTTTTATGGCATCTTACAAATATCAAAACCTATATTTTATTGTAGATCCATAAACTGATGAGTCAGTTGCATAGTAGAGGTCAGACCAAATGCAAGCAATTAAAACAATCAAGGATAACAATTGATATTTATGACCAATAAATAATGATGCATAGATCTAAAATTCTTGGAAATTTTGGATGGCCCAGACTAATAGTTCAACCTGCAAATTGGCGGATGAAGAGTGAAATCCCCTTCTTCAAATTAAAAAGCAGCACATATACGTAACTTTATGGAAACTATTTAAGTCTTCTTCTTCAAATTATGTACCACAACCGTACTGTTGAAAGTCAACCAAAGCTAATTAAAATGTCCAACAAACATCTACACTAAAATGTTTGGTTGTAATTCATATTCGTGATAATTATAGCACCATTTTTTATTGTTATTACTCTAAACAAACAATTTATTAGACTTTTTAACGGTAACCATATTCTAATTATTCTTCTAGATGCTAATACACATGGTGTGTTTGTTTTGATTTCTCCGTGAAAGTTCAATTTTGTTAGTATCATAAAATTTTGGATGAACTCGCAAAAAAAAAATTCTAATAGATATAAGTGAAAGAACAATACCACAAAAAGTAGCGATGCATCAAACGTTAAGATGCAGAGAGAATTGAATGTGTGGAGTAATGCATGTTGAGAGCAGCAGGGAAAGATAGGGAGAAAGAGGAAAACATCGAGGGTTTCTGGAAGAGGTAAAGAAAAGAGAGAAAGAGGTTTATTTAGAGTGGGGGAAGATGACGATGAAACGACTGGGGAGAGAGAGAAGATTGGGAGGCGTAGGTTTTTTTTTTGGGGGGAACATGATGAGACTTAGGTTTATTTTGGCTTTAATGTTGAGGGATAAAAATGAGATAGTTGTGATTTTGAAAAATAAAAGTGGAAAAAATGTTTTTCAAATATGCTCACTTTTTAAAGTAGTATAGATGGAGCTCTATTGTAAGATTGTCATTCTTGAGTATTTGTACATATAATTATATTAAAGATTTATTACATTTTTTTTGTTAAAGATTGACAAGTTGTGATAATATTGTTTGTATTACAGTATTACAATATTGTTGCATACCTAAAAATCAAATATGATATATTTGACTGTCGAATCTAATCTAACAACTACTAGATTGGATTTTACTTCTTCATATATAGATATAGATAGAGAAAATTGTATGTAAGTGTACTAATAAATTAGTCCAAAAGAATTTAGAATTCAAATACTGCTAATAAAAGAGTCCAAAAATACTTGAAAGTTAAATAGGTATAGAAAATAAAAATTGGATGAAAATAAATATATGAGTATAATTGACTTTATAATAATAATTAGGGATAAACTAAGAAGTACAGACACTAATATGACATGACATGGACACGTAAATACGACATTTCTTAAAAAAGTAGGATAAAAACACATTAGGGACACGCTTGACTATTATGATGTTAGTCTAAAAATTCACCCTATAAAGTACTAAATTTTTTAGGTATAATTTTTTTTCCTAGACGTATACTAAATATATATGATTTAAATAATTGCTCTTATTTTCTCAATTATTTTTTTCTAAATATTTTTTGTATTTTTGCTTTTGTTATTATATTTTGAATATAACTTTAACCTGTTTATTCTTTGCAATTATATGTTCTTACATAGTATAAGATATTTAATAATCAAATTTTTAAGTTTTATTAATCACATGTCAATAAATGTTTATTATTTAGTAGTAGACACGGTCTAAAAAAGTGTCCGAAATTAATATTTAATTATGGATACGGATAAAAGAGTATCGGACACGTGTCCGAGAGTGTTAGTGTTTGACTATTTCCTCTTTTGTTTATAATGGAGCTTCATTGTAAGATTGTGATTCGTGAGTATTTGCACATATAATTATATTATTAATTTATTATATTTTTTTGTTAAATAAATTAATTAGATTTTAATATTATTATTTGTAGTATAATATTATGATAGTGCTGCATACCAAAAAATCAAATATAACATATATTTGACTGTAACATCCAATCTGACGACTACATGTATATAGTAATAGAGTATAGGACCTTTTTTATTTTACAATTTATCAAGATCTAAAAATCAATCCACCCAATTATAAAAAAAAAAACTTTTTTGATTGGATGGAATGAATGAAGAAATACTAAATTGTTCTATATCTAATCTGGAGCTTTGGTTGTTCCCTGAATTTGTGTTACTTTATAATGCATATAAAATTAAACCGTGGATTATAGTGCCAAGCAAATTACTTCTTTTAAATTTGAATAAAAATAAAAATATTAGTGAAAATAAAAAAGTCAGCGAAAAGGCAAAAGAGAATTTTTTTATACCATCGAATGAAGAAAAAAATTCTTTTTTAAAGAATCGAAATCAACAAGAAAAAGAACTTGCAGACCAACAAGATCTTGGTTCAGATGCACAAAGCCAAAGAAATCTTGGATACCTTCTCTCAAAACAATAAAAAGATAAATGAAAAAGATTATGCGGGATCAGACATGTACAAATGTAAAACGAAAAAAATAATATAAGAGGAACACGGAAGCAGAACTAAATTTTTTTCTAAAACGGTATTTGCATTTCAATTGAGATGGGACAATGCTTTGAATCACTGATAAATGAGCGCAAAAGAATGTAGAAATCAAATACTACTAATAAAAAAATTCAAAGGAACTTGAAAGTCAATAGGTCAGAAAATAAAAATTGGATGAAAGTATATATGTTGATATAATTGTCTTTAGAATAATAAGTAGGGATAAAATAAGAAATCAAAAGATTTTCCATCAATGAATGATTCTATCTCCCCCTCTCTATATCTATCTAGTACATATACAAAAGGGTCTCACTCTCAAGATTGGCTTTGGATTCTTTGGTGCATCAAATTCCATTCCATCACCATTGCTTGTGCCTTTTTCGTTGGCTTAAATAGAATTGGCCCATTCTTATCAGAAAAATAGAATTGACCCATATATTAAGAGACGTATAGGCTAGCAGAATACTTATATTTGATTATACTCTTAACAGGAAGCAGATGGATGGGGAGACTCAGCCATTTCTGCAGCAGCAGCAGCAACAGCAACAACAACAGCAGATGGTTCCGCTACAAGATAGCTACATGCAGAGTAGAGCTGAAGCTCTTCAAAATGTCGAGTCAACAATTCACGAGCTTGGCAGTATCTTCAATCAGCTGGCAACTTTGGTTTCTCAACAAGGGGAAATTGCTATCAGGTTTTACTTTGAATTCAATCTTACTGTATGTTTTATGCAATTCTCACTGCTTGTTTTACTGTATGTATAGATTGCACTCTGTAGTAGGGACATGCTCCTTTGCTCTGTATGGAACTAGAACGTGTCCAATCTGATTGCTTGGCATAGTGTTAAAAATATGAATTTGGCCCCCAGATTTATTTAGGTTATATAGTCATTTTCTTGGTGATACTTAGGATTGGGTGGCAAGCTGGATGGTTCAGAGGTTGCAACTTCCACTGCTAATGTGGAATCTGTTTTTTTCCTTTGAACTCTTCTACATCAGCGTTCCTTGCTTGCTATAGCTCATGGCCTACTTGCCTGTGCTCCCTCAACTGCATTAGAATTGTTTCGAAATTGATTAAACTCCCAACTTTGAAGAAAGTAGCTCTCCTTGATGTCTCTTGTTGCATATCATATAGGAGATTTTTCCATCATTTTTTTTTTGTTCCTCTCCATCATTTATTGCATGGTTGTGGCTCATAGAACACAGTTGTTCCTAATGACACTGACATCCTGACCTGCTGCACAATATTGGGCATGAGAACAATTAGTAAAATTTTCAAACTCAAGGGCTTATAATGTCAAAGAAAGAGATACTTGTACCTGCTTAACTCACATTTGAATGAGTATATCAATGTTAATTTGATATCTGGTTATCCCTGCACTTCCCACTAATATTATTGTATTTGTGATGGAAAGGAAAAGATCTTATACTGCACTCGATCTTACACTCTGCTCATCATTAAGGGATATAGCATCAGAAATTCTAAATCTTTAGATCCATATGCTTTACGAGAAGAAGTTAGTACTTTGACACAAAGGGAAAGATCTTAAGTTAATTGTTGCTTATAAAACATGAAATAAAACTTAAGTTGGCTACCTGGATCTTTTATCTTCGTCTGTCCTATGCAATGCCAACAATGGCTCCCTCAATGATCAGGATATCCCCAGCTTCTGTCCTTTGATAGAAAACTTCTCCTGATAATTTAATTTGGTTTTTAGTGACTATGGGGCCATCTCACAGAGCTTTGAAAAGTACACATCTGAGAATTTTCATGTATCGGAACCTTTGACTATGATAAGCATTGCTATGCTAGAAGAAGGAGAACAGGAAGAAAAAAAATGCTGTTGAGCCGTAGTGTTCCTAGACTGTTCAGTTGAGCTTAAGCTGATATTCCTCAGTTTAGTTTTCTTAGAGCCTCAATTGCATACAGTACTAAAAAGTCATTTTTCTGTACCGTTCCGAAATTTATAATTTTTTGGATCAAGTTACAACCTTTTTGGGTTGCATTATAACAAAATGGGGTGTCTGGGATCGATTTAGGATCGATCCCGACCGTGCCCAAAAAAGTTGTAACCTTCGGTATCAAAGGCTTACCCCAATTGCACAGGCTACATCCTACATGTTCTTGGATGGTGAGGGGTGTTTCTGTAGGAAATTTTTTTAACCCTAGAGTATTTCAGTTTCAGGATGCAGACAGGGAAATAAGCAGGCAATTAGTTGAAGTAAATGTACTGTTGGTAATGTTGATATTGGACTCTTATTGAGTACACAATGTTTGTCTCCAGAGAGAGAAAACAGGAGAGAGGAGGGGAAACCTGCGGGGTGGGTGGGGTGGGGGGTGGAAGGGAGATAATGTCTTGGTGGTTTCTAATAGATGAGTGTGGGCAGGGAGGAAGAGCCGAGGAGGTATTTGGTTGCTCAACTCTTTAGGACCAATAATGCTATAATGGTTGGCAAAACATCCGATTTTGGGTGCCAAGCAAACCCTTGTTTGCACGCCATTTATTCTTATTCATTCTTGGTGGTGTAGTTGGTACATTCTTTTATGCATTCTTTACCCATGATTTGAATCCAAACTTGGTTACTAATTTAAGTGTTTGTGGCAGGATCGATGAGAACATGGATGACACACTGGCAAATGTGGAGGGTGCGCAAGGTGCTCTGCTCAAATACCTCAATAGCATCTCCTCAAATAGGTGGCTGATGATTAAGATATTCTTTGTACTTATTTTCTTCCTCATGATTTTTCTATTTTTTGTGGCATAAATATAATGAACGAGAAGCAACATTTTTTAGAGCGAGATCACCTGTTTTGCATGTAACAAGCTTCACAATTTTCTTTTTATTGAGTTAGTTTTCATGTGAATGCGGATGAAGTAACACTGCCGATTTCATCATTTGTGATACGCACAGCATATATGTAATTGTGTATTGAGCAATTTTTCTGTGAAATTATGGTAGATCAAGTGATAACAGAGACAAGTTGTAAATTCAAACGTCTTTGAGGTTGAATTCTGACAATTTTTTGGGCTTAAATTATGAGATATTTTTTTTCTTCATGAATTACTAAGTCTTGGGGTGAATGGTTTGTCTTTGATCGGATCGAAGAAGGGATTAGTTGGTGTTGGCGAAGAGCACGTAAGTTGATATAGACACTCTTGACTATCTTGGTCTTTGCGTGAATGGTGTCTTTTTCTCATGAATTACTTGGTGTTGGCGTGGATGATTTTTTTTTGATCGGAACAGAGAGAGAATTAGTCGAGTAGTATGTAAGTTGACTTGAATACCCTTACAATATTAATTATTCTTTTGATTCACAAATCCCTTATCAAAAAGCAAAAAAAAAAAAAAAANATGCTGTTGAGCCGTAGTGTTCCTAGACTGTTCAGTTGAGCTTAAGCTGATATTCCTCAGTTTAGTTTTCTTAGAGCCTCAATTGCATACAGTACTAAAAAGTCATTTTTCTGTACCGTTCCGAAATTTATAATTTTTTGGATCAAGTTACAACCTTTTTGGGTTGCATTATAACAAAATGGGGTGTCTGGGATCGATTTAGGATCGATCCCGACCGTGCCCAAAAAAGTTGTAACCTTCGGTATCAAAGGCTTACCCCAATTGCACAGGCTACATCCTACATGTTCTTGGATGGTGAGGGGTGTTTCTGTAGGAAATTTTTTTAACCCTAGAGTATTTCAGTTTCAGGATGCAGACAGGGAAATAAGCAGGCAATTAGTTGAAGTAAATGTACTGTTGGTAATGTTGATATTGGACTCTTATTGAGTACACAATGTTTGTCTCCAGAGAGAGAAAACAGGAGAGAGGAGGGGAAACCTGCGGGGTGGGTGGGGTGGGGGGTGGAAGGGAGATAATGTCTTGGTGGTTTCTAATAGATGAGTGTGGGCAGGGAGGAAGAGCCGAGGAGGTATTTGGTTGCTCAACTCTTTAGGACCAATAATGCTATAATGGTTGGCAAAACATCCGATTTTGGGTGCCAAGCAAACCCTTGTTTGCACGCCATTTATTCTTATTCATTCTTGGTGGTGTAGTTGGTACATTCTTTTATGCATTCTTTACCCATGATTTGAATCCAAACTTGGTTACTAATTTAAGTGTTTGTGGCAGGATCGATGAGAACATGGATGACACACTGGCAAATGTGGAGGGTGCGCAAGGTGCTCTGCTCAAATACCTCAATAGCATCTCCTCAAATAGGTGGCTGATGATTAAGATATTCTTTGTACTTATTTTCTTCCTCATGATTTTTCTATTTTTTGTGGCATAAATATAATGAACGAGAAGCAACATTTTTTAGAGCGAGATCACCTGTTTTGCATGTAACAAGCTTCACAATTTTCTTTTTATTGAGTTAGTTTTCATGTGAATGCGGATGAAGTAACACTGCCGATTTCATCATTTGTGATACGCACAGCATATATGTAATTGTGTATTGAGCAATTTTTCTGTGAAATTATGGTAGATCAAGTGATAACAGAGACAAGTTGTAAATTCAAACGTCTTTGAGGTTGAATTCTGACAATTTTTTGGGCTTAAATTATGAGATATTTTTTTTCTTCATGAATTACTAAGTCTTGGGGTGAATGGTTTGTCTTTGATCGGATCGAAGAAGGGATTAGTTGGTGTTGGCGAAGAGCACGTAAGTTGATATAGACACTCTTGACTATCTTGGTCTTTGCGTGAATGGTGTCTTTTTCTCATGAATTACTTGGTGTTGGCGTGGATGATTTTTTTTTGATCGGAACAGAGAGAGAATTAGTCGAGTAGTATGTAAGTTGACTTGAATACCCTTACAATATTAATTATTCTTTTGATTCACAAATCCCTTATCAAAAAGCAAAAAAAAAAAAAAAACAAAAAAAAAAGAAGAAAAAATTCACAAACAACATGAGGTTTGCATGGCTATTTAGGAATGTAAGGATGGCGAAAGTGCGAATGGGCCAAATCACATGGTTTCAGTGAGATTTTGCCTCCTCTTGACCTCGCATTCTTGCACTCATTCCCCACTAAACAAACGACTCTGAAGTTTGTCTGCAACATTTTGGCCATAAAAAAGCTTAACATCATTATTGCCGTATAAATGTCAGTTGGAAACATTTTGAGTAATCATCAGTTTGTTAATTACATCGGACACACAGAAACTGTGTCTGAATAGTGAATACTGTTTGCTTCTTTCCATACATTTGCAAATGATACTTCAGACATTAAAAAATTAATGTTTATAATGAAACTCAAATCAATTAGATAAATTAAATTAGTTGGACTTAAATTTCATAAGTCCAAATAATACAAGTTCAAATTTAATTAAACTGATTAAAGTTGGACCTAAATTCTATAAGCCCAAGCCAAAATTTAATAGGTTTTTCAAATTAAATTGAGTTGCACTTATGCCCAAATAACATAAATCAACTAAAGTCCGTAAATTTAAATGAATATGAGTAACCTATTGCCTAAAGCTCATATAAGAGTATTTAAGTAAAATATAATTAAATAAATAACTAGGGCTTTTTAGAAGTCGGTCCACTCTTGTTGACTTTTGGGAGAAAAAGGACATGCGCGTTCTTTTTGGGACTTAAATGACAACTAAAAGTATAAAGATTAATGTACCCTTAATGAAATAAATAGTTATATAACAAAATGGATAGTAACAACAAAACGATAGCAGTAACAACAAGGCAGTAATAATAACAACAAGATAGTAACAATGACACAATAAAAAATAACAGTCATTGTTACAGTAACATGATTGCATTAATAACAATGCCCATGTTGGTGGGGTGTAAGGGACGACGACTGAGAATGGAGGTATTATAGAAGATGGCAGGACCGGAGTATAGAGTGGTGGTAGACTAGATAGTAACACGATTATAATAATAGTCACAATCACAGTCAAAATTCTACGGAATTAGATAATAACGTGAAATAGACAACCACATGATCACAGTAATAGCAACAATCACTATCAAAATTCTATGAAATCAGACAGTAACGTGAATTAAACCGCCACACAATCACAGTAATAGCCACATGATTGTAGTAACTGCCACAAACCACTGTCAAAATTTTACAAAACTAGATTGTAATGTGAACTAGACAACCACACAATCACAATTACAGTCACATGATCACAACAACAACTAAAACCACTAATAGAACAGTTCGAGTTCAACGTAGTTTACTATCCCTATTAGCAAGAATTCGTTTGACAATTAATTGAAACCTTATCCTGTCATACTAAACGACGACTGGTGGCTTCATACGAAAAAATGTCGGTTCTTAGGTATGTGAAGGCAAAAATGCCAGAGAGATTTTATCACAGAAGTTTGAAGACTAACAACTAATCACTGAAACTGTTGAAACTCAGGGTAGCACTCTATACGCTCTTGTAGAGGCTCGACCAGAGACGAATTCGAGTTCCGTCTTGAGGTTTAGAACATAATTATCAAAGAACAAGAGGTGGTTTAAAAAATTGTCTTTTGTATATCATGAATTAATCAAATTCTTAGAATTACCAAAAAAATTAAAAATCTCTCCCACATTTCTGTCAACCATTTGATAGATCCACCCTCTTTTTGAATTTTCTTCGAATAAGGTCTTGTTTTTCATTTGAAGTGTTTATCGGTGGCATTTTGGTCAGTTAAAATGAAAATAATTTATTGAGTAAAAATCACTCACACCTCCTGATATTTGATTTTATTACATAGGCACCCTCTCACATTTTAAAAATGACACTGGGACTCCAATAGTGAACGACGTTAACAATATTAATAAAAAGACTATTTTACCCTTAATTAATTGATCAAATTCATGCTCAGATCTAAACCCTCACCCCATGCCCAAGACAACACTCCACGACCCGTGACCCATGACCTAAAATCTTCTATGCCCGAAGCCCCCAACAATTAAGCAATACCATTTTTCCCTCTTTCCCTGCACCACCCCCAACCTCCACCGCATTCCCTACACTACCACCTCCACTACCGCCTCCACCACCACACACAGTGCCCAAGAACACAGACTCTTTTACTCACAAAACAATGGCTCTCACAAGCACCAGTACTCTTCTCCCCAACAAATCGATTGTTGAAACTCAATCTCTCCTACCTTTTTCCAAATCCCACCAATTTTCTCTCTACACCAACCTAACCAAATCCACTAGAACAATCCAACCCATCTCTGTCGTCCATTCCTTTGAGTTATCCAAAAACCCCATTGTCTCTGATAAGCCTCCAAAATTAAGCACATTAGCTAAAATAGCAACCTCAACGGCAACACCAACGGTGGCAAACATAGATAAGGTCTCCAAGAAATGGAGCATGGATAACTGGAAAACCAAGAATGCTCTTCAACTTCTGGAGTACCCAGATCAAGAAAAGCTCGAGTCTATGCTCCGGACTTTGGATTCTTTTCCTCTGATTGTGTTCGTTGGGGAGGCCAGACATCTAGAGGAACGTCTTTCGGAGGCTGCAATGGGTGGTTTCGGTGGGTTATTTTCTCCCTCTCTCTCTCTCTCTCTCTGTGCTATGCCTTGTTGTGATTGGGTTTAGGCGGTGGTGTAGGTGGTGGAGCCGGTGGTGTTGGATGGCAGAAAGAAGAATTTATGTAATTAGAAAAATAATAAAAATAAACCCATACTAAACGGCGACCAGTGGCTCCATACGAAAAAATGTCGGTTCTTAGGTATGTGAAGTCAAAAATGCCAGAGAGATTTTATCACAGCTCATCACTGAAACTATTAAAACTTGAGGTAGCACTCTATATGCTCTTACAGAGAGGAATTCGAGTTCTGTCTTGAGGACATAATTATCAAAGAACAAGATGTGGTTAACACTCTTACATGTTATTGCTCTTTCAGCTAACATGAAAATATATCCCGAAGTAGATTTTAAATCATACGGACATCTAGCAAAATCTGAATCTAAGTAACCAATCACCTCAAGACTATCAACTCTCCTATAAATAACCATGTAATTTTTTTTCCTTTGCAAGTATCTCATAACTTTCTTAGTTGCCACCCAATGATCTA